GACGAAACACTATCACAGGGAAGGGCGATAGCCGGTAACTAGTGTTACCGAGTAAATTAAGTTGGAGAGTTTTAAGGTGATACATACTGCGTGAGCAAATGTAACAGTCAAAACTTCTGTAACATATGATTCTTTAACGAATGTTGCAATACCACCGCCTGCTCTACTCGAACGGATACGGAAGAATTCTCGATATCCGGGAAGAGAAAAAATATAAAGAGATATAGATGGCACATTTATCTCAGTTAGAACCCAAACATCAGCAAGATCTTTCAAACAGTTGGTGACAAGGCACAATTGGTCAAAATGCTTTCTAGCACCACAAATATTAGTGTGAAAGGAGGTAAACCCAATAACTGTGGACTTAGAATTACTCGAAATTGAAGTGAAATCATGGCATTCCGAAAATGTGAGGGCCATAGGCGCTACCCAATGAGCTCCAGGTCACTGACGCAATTGACGCGTGCGGGAGGGGCACCTTCACTCTTTTTTGCGCACATGTTGGCATATTTTTACCCAAACATAGCGATATTGCTGCTCTTTGCATCTTGATCGGGCCTTCCAGTACAGCTCCCTGGTCGCCCGTGTGAGATTTTCATTGAAGAAACCTTTTGGTAGTTTCTGTTCGCTGTGATTTAGGGCAGCTCAAACAGCGGTCCTCATAGTGATCGCAGCGTAAAACCTCAGGAGATGGACCGGGAGGGCACCACGCGAAGAGGGCAAGCGGTGAACAGCATCAACTTCAGTGGAACGGAATTCGGAGATGCCGACTTTTTGTGCTATACCAACTAGCGGAGATAGAAGCTGCTCCTTCGAGCTCTATGGAAGGCAAAAAAATCTCGAGGTTTGATCGACGGCCATACTGCTCGGAAATGTTTAGCTCAGTGTGGAGTCGTTTGATCTCATCAGAGAGGGTCGACATTGAGGACTTCAAAGCCCATCATTGTAATAATAATAATAATAATAATATTAATAATAATAATAATAATAATAATAAATTTATTGCAGGTGCTTAAACGTCCTCAGAGTATCATTTCGGGACCGTCAAAGTTCTAAAGACTTGTAGGACTGATCCCAACAGAATATCTACAAAAACACGCATAACAAGAAAAAAAAAAAAAAACCTAAAAAAAAAAACACAGAACAAAGAAGTTACAGAGATTCAAAAACGCGACAAGGTAAATATCGTTAAAGACGAATTGCACAGTACAAACTCATTACGAAAAGTCTTGAAGGTTCACGCTATTTTCCTATGGGCGAGCACATAGGCTTCAGTTTTCTTTTTAACTTTCCACGAGAAGTAATGTCACTCAGCACAGGTGGGAGTTTGTTAAAGGTGTTTACAACATAATAACTCCGAATGCATGCCCCAAAATGAGTACTGATTCGCGGCGTGGCATATGGTGCCACTTTCCGAAGGTCACAACAAACCACGTTGGGGACCTTAAAGGTATTATCCCAGTAATGTCGGAGTATAACTGCATGCAGAAATAGGGCTCGAAAGGGTGGTAAAGAGAAATCGTCAAAGATGTTGTTGGATGTTTGAATATTGGAGCCATATGCCACGCTACGCAAGATGCCCTTTAGGAGAGAATTCACTTTAGTTTCTAATAGGTTTGTGCACTGCCCGAACAAGGTAATTCCATATCGAAGCACACTATAAACGAGTGCGTGCACAATGAGTCTTCGGGTTGGCATGGGGATAAATGTTCTTATATTGTAGAGGGTGCAGGATGCTGCTCGGCAGTTTCTTCATGATGTAGAAAAGATGGGAGTTCCACGATAAATCAGAGTCAAAATAAATTCCTAAGTATTTTGTAGTGTTCACGTAATCTACTGGCACACATTCACAAGAAGCAAAGTCTGAAGCGTGCAGAACTATTGGCTTGTTTAAAATGACCGTAGAAGTATATCTTTTAGTAAGTTGTAATTTCTACACAAATCGGACATTCGTACACCATCAATTCCAGGAGACAAACGAGGTTTAAAAATGAACAACATAGTTTGTAGCGCTTGCTCAGTTATTTCAGGAAGGAAAGCGGACGCTACATTTGGAATGATTGAGAGCGAGAGATCTACTTCATTATCGCGCGATATGCTTGAGGTCTTTCCGAAATAGGTGTTGAAAGCATTGGCTGCAGAGAGAGGACTGCACGGGAAATACTTTTCGAGAGTTTCGTCAACTGAACGTCTAGCACGGGGACCATCACGGAGTTCGTTGACAAGAGACCAGGTTACCCGGGTGTCAAAGCGGGATTCAACTAACTTTGCTTTGGCATAGCTACGCTTAGCTGATTTGATCATTGAGGTTACCCTATTGCGTTCAATTTTAAATTTAATACGCAATTCCTCGTTCTTCGGTGACTGTCGACTGCGCGTCCACAAAAGTTCTTCATATTTGATTGCGGCAATAATGTCATCATTCAGCCACGCGAGTTCAGGTTGACGCTTTTTAACGATAATTACTTTTGTACTGCAGTCAGGGAGAGTTCTCCATAGCTGAATGAACTTTGAATAACTCTCCCGTTGACTAAAAGACCACAAGAAATTGTCCCAGTCATATGATGCGATTAATTTGTCAAACGCTTTGCGATCAAATATTTTTACTTGTCTCTTCTTAGAACAGGTGGTTTTTACAGAATCCTTTGAGAGCAGTTGACAAGCCGTGAAGTAGTGGTCCGCGAGTTTTTGTGTAATAATAGTATAATAATAATAATCGTAATAATAATAATAATCTTTATTGGCTGAGGCACAAAAGAAAGGCAACAGACCATACCATTGAGTGCCGCGTGTGGTGATGGTAACTATAGAGTGTATGCGATGGTATATACAAGATCAGGACAACGTGGCCTTCCGATCGATCGTCGCAAAAACCTCTGCACGAGATTTGTAAGTTCGGGCACTGTTGGGGCTTGTCAGGCAGAATATATGGCGTCTCTTATCCTTCTCTTTCCAATAAATATGCCTCACGTCCGCAGTGATTTCCCCGTGCCCATAAAAAATGAATGGTTCAAATTTATTTGGAGATTGACGATCCCAGAGCATTAACTTTCGTAAGAAATGGGGCTGTTTTTATCTTCGACGAAGAATAGAGGTTACAATGCTCTATAGAAAGGGCCATCCACAATTTTAAATCCTTTAAATCCTTCGATTGTCGTTCCCTGACTCGAATGTAGCGTTGCGCCAAGTTCGTCCGTTGACAGTTCCTATTAATCACGGGTTTATTTTATAAACGCTCGTATAAATGAAATGAAACGACAAATTCAAACGCTCAGGCCCAAGTAGGAGGGTGCACAAAGCAATGAACAAGAACAAAACCTGTAGACAGAAGAAACACACGGCTATATGCAGTTCAAGTTGAAGGTAAACAAAGTAGTAAACAGACAGTCAAACAATACACTATACAGGAAGCCAAATCCAAGACTAGATCAAACTCATGAGATCAAAGAGATCTAAACTAATGAAGTGTGGAGACTTGAAGATCATTTGACTAAGTGGTAGTATAAGCACGCAAAATACTCTAAACGACTTATTTTTCGCAGGCTCAATAATTCGCGATTTGGGTCAAAGCTGATGTTTTGGAATAATTCGCTGGTTCTAATATTTGCGACGCAGTGAGTTCTCAATATAGATTCCAATGTGTTTGCAGTTTACCGGAATTGTTCGCGGGACCTATTTTTCGCAAACTGTGGGCGATTCGCGAAATTCGCGAAAATTAGGTCTTCGCAAAAATTAAGTCGTTTACAGTAAACAAAGTTACTCCCTTTGCCAGCAAGACGTTCCATACGTTAAATAAATGTATATGTGAACATACACGGGAAGTTTATTTCGGTAATTTTGGTTTGGAGTTCTTTTTTATTTTTTATTTAAGTAAATCCATTTTTATGCGTAGGGTTCCGTTTTTTCGGATAAATCCGAAAAAAAATTCAAAAAAACACTCGCCGGTAAATTGTACGTCAATTCGGAGGTCATAATGACAAAATAAAAAGACAAAAAAGACGGTGTTTTAGAAATAAACTGTACAAGAGCACAGGGTCAGTGGCCCAGAGGAGATTCAACTTTAGTTTACTTTGAAATCTCGAACTATTGGCAAAAGGGTGTGCCTTGTAGCTCGTCAAGTTTCCTTGAGCATAAAAAATCATAGTACCCGAACTTCATTTTTTCTTTAATTGGGGACACAGTAACATAAACTATGAATTTGAGAAAATTGAGAATCTTACAAAAATAAACTCCGATAAACCCCGCATTTTCAGAGAAAAATAAACTCCAAAATGCACCCTCCGAGTTTTACGAGAAATGAACTCCGAAAACACGGAATCCTAGTTACAGACTTCGGGAAAAGCGCCTGTACCCGTAGCCATTTTGGCTGGCTTGGGTTCATTTGATAAAAATCAGAATCACTGATATTGGATGACAGTCACTGATAATGGAAACGCTTAAGATACATAGAAATCAACGAAATGTCAGGTTAAGCAAATGAGCGTGTCTAATTAAGCGTACTTAATTAAAGCATGTCTAGATTTAGTTGACTTCCTGATTCGTGAAACGAATTTCCCCACTGACACAAAGGAGAGGTGGAACTCCAATTCAATGCTAAAATCTTGCTTTATCTAATTCTCGTATTTAAAAATTTTCACGGTATTTTTTTTTTCAGAAGAGCAGGCAGTTGCTTGTCATGCACACTTTCCCTTACCCTTCAATCATTCCGCGGGATCAGGCCTCCGAAATGATCGACCGAATCCAAACTTGCATTCGATCCTCTCCACTGACCTATCCTCGTTCCATTCAGAAACAACTGTCCATTCCCGCAGCCGTCAACGACACCCTCCCACATTTCCTCCTTTCACCCCCTCCCCCGTTTCGCTGCCCTCCTCTCCCTCCGCCCCGCTCCTCGCGTTTCGTCGGCCCATTACGTCAAAGCACGCTGCGTGCGCCGAAGCTCGCCCGGCTTTTTCTATACCCCCCAGAACCCGAAGCTCGCGGCTTCAGTCGCCCGCGAACCCTCGGCGCGACGACCAGGAGCGCGGTTCCTCCTCAAGCCTCATCTTCAGAGAAGCCATGAGCAGTTTCGTCGACTTCGTGGACCGGGCCGAAGCCGGCTGAGAAGGCGACAGTAGCCGTGTGTGGTTCTTCGACAGCCGTGAGTGGACGCCGGTGACTGGCGTCTTCTTTGGCTGTCGACGGCTGCTGCAGGACAAGTTTTGGAGATAGGCGGCTTCTGGCCGTGCGCACCACGCCGTCTGCTAGCTCCTGGACGGGATGTCGTCTGCTTCCGGCCGCTCATGGAGACCTGTTTTTGTTAGCTTGACAGTGCTGGTATGCGCGTGTGGCTGCTGTTCAGGAGATGGTAAGTACAACACTACTTTCACAATCTAAACTTGAATGCTGACGTTAGTGGCAAAAATTAAAAAAAGAAAGAAAAGATTAGGCCGATGTTACAGCAGCAGCTTTCACCTACTGACCATGAGCCTCAGAAGCGCGCGGCGTTGCTACTTTGAGGAATCTTAAAGCTCTGAAGCCGATGGTACTTCTGCATTAGTCTACGAGAACACCGAAAAACTCCGAATCACGAAACAGAGATCGTAAAAGTAAAAAATTCAATTACAAGTTCATCTTGAATCCTGGAACACAGTTCATCAAGCCCAAATTGAAAGACCTTCGCATCTTCATCATCATCCGCTTATTTTATGTGCTCATGAATATCGAGATCGCCTTGACTATGGTGAGCAAAAAAGATTGTACATTTGAGATGTCGATGCCCGCTCAATGGTGTCGTTTATACTGTATCCTATATCTTCTCATGTAAGCATAGAAATGTATTACGTGGGATGGTGATATTTCGTTAATTAGATTTATAAAACACGCGAAACAGATGTTCCCATACGTGCGAGAGACAGTCGGGAACTAATTTCAACAACGCGCAACTTGACTAAACTCAGGGAAAGATTGTTCGGCAGTAGCCTGTGTTGCATGAGTATCGTTTGGCACCTGTTGGGTAAACGAAAAAAAAAAAAAAACTGAATCGCTCACAATTATTTTTTAGTAAAAATAAGCAGGTATAAAATGACCATGTTGCCAATCTACTTACATATCAATCTAAAGACAGAAACCGTTTAGTGTCAAACTGAAAAGGAATATAATAAAGAGAGCAACCGCAGTATAGAGATACAAGTGCAATAGGGTAAATAGGGTCCTGCTACTAGGTATGACGGATCTGATTCCGCGGCTCTGTGAACGAGTAGACGCTATTTAAAATCGCTCCGAGGTAACTGCTACTTGTTAATCTTTGATGGAGGACGAGCCCCGAGCGATAGTTTTCCCTTCCATCAATCTTTCTCCGACTGCAATTTGCCAATTATACTCGCTGCAACGTGTAATACAACGCCGTCGTTTTTCGCATCGGTTCCCCCGCATATCTGCGTAGCTAAACGGAACAGTGACGATTGAAGCTCGATTTGGAACTAAAGTTTAGAAATCGCAGCGACTGCCTCAACAAACTTGCGAGCTAAGACAACCCGCCCCCCCCCCCCCCTTTTTTTTTCTTTTCCTCTCGAAAAACGGAAGATTTATGGTAGTCAGAAGAGGGTTGTTTGGGGTTACGCTCGTGCTCGGCGGTGCCTACCACGCCCGCCAAATTGTAGAACGTCCCGCCAAAAGACATTTCCGAGCCCAAACGACCCTTTCTTTCGTCTACGTTCCGAATGTCGCCGTAAAAATTACTCCGCCCTCGTTTACGCGGCGAGCATTCGTAACCCCGTTGTAAAAGAGAACAAACTCTAGTTTTTTTTTTAGTTTTTTTTTTATTCGTGTCGCGCGAAATCGGACGCTGGTGTCGGTGACGCTGCGTCGGAAGTAATTGGAAAGATTCGAATCTTTGTGTTCCTCTACCCGTCTTTCTCTTTGTTTGCTGCGTGCGTTAAATAAGACTCGTTCTGCGCAAATAACGTGCTACGATCGCACAACAAAAGTTGTTGATTGAAAGGACGATTTCGATTTAAGTAACAACTTTGATTCTTATTTGGGAGGTGTGTTTTTGCTCGTTCAAGAAAGGTTAGGATGTCATCTTTGACGGAAGGGAAACGCAAGTGTTTTAGATCCGAAAGTGTTGGCGCTCAAATGTAATTTGATTATTGAATTATTCACTCGTCAACGGCCTTGTCACTGATCCGGGAACGATTTGGCTGTCGACCAGAATGCCGTCGTCTGCAAATATAATCGAGATACACGATATATATAGGGTTCGGAGTTTTCCGTTTAAACCGATAAAAACCGATAAAAGTACGTCGAATTCATTTTTGGAAATTCGGTTTTAACCGAAAAAGGTCAGTTTGTAGGTTCAGCGTTTTAGGTTTAAACCGAAAAAAGTACGCCGAATTTTTAAAAAATAAAAACCGAAAACGCGGAACCCTAGATATATAGCAGAGTGGCCTTGAACGTGATGTGGAAATAGTTTGTTTTATGCTTGCACTATTGAAGGAATGATGTAATTATTTGAAAATAAGCAGAACGTTTTATTACTGTCCATACTTGGTCGTTATTTTCACGGGGGTTCACTGCATTAAAGCCTAGCTGCTTTTTTCGTCTTCAGTTTCTTAACCTTAATTACGGTAAAAAAAAGCAGAATGATCGAGTCAAGAAATGATATAGGCTTGCGCGCCTCCTGAACATAAAGGAAGAACGACTCTGAAATTTTAGAAACTGAGAACTTAAGAAACGTCTCGGGGACAAGATCCCCTAGACACTGCGTGTCCAGTGTTTCTAAAGTTTATCACTGACTACGGTGATTTTGTCAGAAGGATGGGGGAGATTTGAGTGGGTTGTATCGGTTTTTCTAAGGATAAGCAAAGCTCAAGATTGGATTTACATTCAACGATACAGAGATTACGGGAATCGACGTTAGCGAGTTCTAATGTCCGTTTTTTTCTTTCTGGAAGATAATTAGAAGACCGTAAATCGACATCAGATTCCGCTCTAAAAATGTATCGGTGCCCGCAGACAGCCCGAAAGATGTCGCTAAATTGTACCTCCCCCGTACGAACTAACCGCGCCTTCATATGCCTAAAAGCAAAAAAAAAAAAAAAAAAAAAAAAAGTATTATTAACCACTAATTCATTTCGGTAATTAATCTGAGATCGAGAGAAATAGTTACAGGGCGCTTTAAGTTTTTGTTACTCAGGTGTTCCAACGAGTTTCTTTCTTTTTTTTTTTTCCCCGCAGATATTGTTTTTGTTAACGACTTAGGAACTTGAAAGGAAAAAAACAAAACAAAAATGGTTGGGTTGTACCTTAAATTTCCTTGCCGGCAAAAAAAAAAAAAAAAAAGAAGAGAAGAAAACGCACTTGTTAAAGAAAAAAGAAACGCTGTCCGTGGTGTTTGTTTTGTTGCCGCTTAGGGCAGTGCAGGAAGGAAAGGTAAAGACTCTACATTAGTTGGGACATCGTTGTATTCGACAAGGTTCCTGTATGGTTAAACATAGTTTCTGTCGATGGGGACAGGAGGAAAGGTATATTGCCGTGTGTAAATAGTTAATATATATATATATATATATATATATATATTTTTCTTACTTGTCAATGCCGATTTGGCGCTAGAGGAAAGGTCGTTTCTTTCCAAGAAGCTTTCTCTATCCATCGATGTCTAGCAGCAGTAGATCCGCCCCGGTGTCAGCGACAACTCAAGAAACCCGATGCGTGGCAAGCACCGTGCATCTCATTATCGCTTGGAGACCCGTGAGATTTCAGCGTTATCCGAGAAGAAAGCCCAAGAGCCAATCACGAGGCGAGAACGTATTAGGCCACGCCCCCGGGTTTCTTAAGCCGGCAGTTGCCACGGCAAACATTGAAAAAATAAATTGGTAGCGACTTTTAATTTAAGAAAAAGTTACACACACGAACGATATTGCTATAGCTTGTTGCAGCTCCAGAAGGTAGTGCGAGGGAAATAGAGGCCGGGGAAAAGGAGGCGGGCGAAACGCTGGGGAGAAGAGCAGGTTTCCCCCTCTCTAGCGTTCTGTCTGCTTCCTCCTCCCCGGCCTTTCTTTCCCTTGTCTTACCTTCTTGAGTTGTAACGGACTAAAGGAGGGGGAAGGGATGGGGAGTGGAAAGGAGGGAGAGGGAGGAGAGGGATGTCTAGAAGAAATTGGCGCGTCACGTGACGTATGTTTTCTCGCTAAATTTAGCGGGGAAACAGAATGGTTGTATAGGTCACGTGACGTCGATTTCCCCCGCTAAATTTATCTGAAAAACTGGAATGGTGTCTAGGTCACAAGACGCGAATTTTCCCGCTAAATTAGAGGGTAATAAAGCACTTTCCCGATAAAATTAGAGGGGAAACTGACTTGATATTTTGGCCGTAGGACGCGAATTTTCTTGATGAAAATCTTTTTAGCAAGTTTTTCCGCTAAATTTAGCGGGGAAACTGAGTTGACGTATAGCTCGCGTACCGTCAATTTTCCCAAAGTGTAGAATCCACGTGACGTCACGTGGCGGCCCTTTCCCCGCTAAATTTAGCAAAAAATGCATGGACGGATGGACAAAATTGGGGATTGGAGGTGGCGTTAAAAAGCTTTATAAGAAAACTTCACCGCACCATAGAACGATTTTAAGCACACACTAAGACACATTATCAAAAACATCATTGATTTATTCGTGAAAAAAAATTTACAAACTCGCTTCTATTCATCAGCTAGTGCAATGTAAAGGGGCATTGGTGCTTCAATTAATTTAATAGACAAAAGAGCATGCTTTTGTTAAAGTGGCTGAGTAGTAGTTTTTCACGCTAGGCTGCTTAGACACAGTGGGTTGTGTAAATGGCAAAGCAGCTATAGCCTTGAGCTGTAGTCGCTCAAATGCTTTGCACCAGCGTGGGTGTCTCTTTGGTTCGCGGTGGGCACATTTGATCTTACAGTCACTCAGTGTTCGGAAGCAGGTATTCATCCAGGTTCTTTCTTTTGAAGCCTCCGGTAAGATCTGATGTCGTTGACCCGAAGCATATAGCCATATTCCATCCTAAAATTTCCTTAACCTGTTTAGCTTGGACGTCCACTGGCAACGTTAGACATTGTGAAACTTGACCTTGTAATAAAATAAAAGGAAAGAAAACATTAATCGAATTTAAAGTCACCGTTCCGCCGAACCAGCTCCAATAGGAGCGGTTGACGTTTTGTTTATCTAAAGCTGGGTTAGGTAAGATTGCATATAAAAATAGTCTCTAGCGCGTCAGTGAACTCTTGATTTCATTGTTCGCAGGGCTCTTTCATTGCGAATGCAAACACGACTTTGCATTTGGTCGGCTTTTGGGAAAGTTCGGAAGATTGTTTTGTCGGAAACTAAACCTTACATCGTGTT